TTAAGGATTTTCACAGATTTCAATTTGTGAATTACCGTGACTTCTTGGAAAGGATAATAAATGGTTTACACATTGCGAGTGATTCAAGTTAAATGAAGAATGATGCGTATGATATGTGTAATATAAACTGTGTGTAACAGCAAAATTGTCCATCCTACAAAATGTTTAATATCTAAAAAAGCCACTAAACTAATTGAGTTTCTATTTTCCAGGTTTTCAGATAAAACCTTTAGCTACCTTCATACCATTTGTCGTAAGAATCACTGAAAAACCGTTATTCAGCTAGAAAAAGAACAGGTTAAAATCGTTTTTCTGTCAGCCCCACTTTCTTCCTAACTGAGCAATGGTGAGAAGAAAAAGATCATTCAGACCTGCAGTAATATATTCACACTCTGGCCTCCATCTTCAAATCTGTTCAAGAACCAGCAAGAGAACGGTGAATAAGTTTTAAAAAGAGCGAATAGTGGAGAGGAAAAATGGATCAGGAGGTCACAACAGGAAGAGGGATCGTCATTTTAACTTAGAAGTAAAAAAATGAATTAGAAAAGATCCAACTCAATTCATAAGAGGTTTGGCGCGTGAGAGAAGAGTTTCAGCTATGACAGTCTAAAGAGCAGTTTAAAAACACTTGATATTGAAATCGTGCGTGAAACGTGTGAGGCATCTTGTTAATCCTGGACAGAATATTACAGGGTAAAATGAGCGAAGATCATCTTGAATAAGTTGGAAAATGATCCTGGAATATATATATATATATATATATATATATATATATATATATATATATATTATATTAACTTATATTAAGATATATATTAAGACATTTTCATGTTTATACATTCTTTTTATAGATACAAATATTTAAGTAAATGCTCTGCATATAATAAAATGAAACAACATTTATTTATTATAAACACAGCATTTACTTAAATATTTGTATCTATAAAAAAATGTATGAATATAAAAAATGTCTTAAAAATAATTGTCGGATTTTGTCCATTTCATAATATATATATATAGGTAACTACACTCGTCTCGGAAAACCTTCGGTTTCTTGATTTGCTAATGGTCAAATCAATTTCTAAGGAAAAAAAGGTTTTAAAAAAAGAAAGAGCTATAAACATGAACGTCTGTCGAAAATAATCGTACAGCATACAGGTCCAAAGCCCAAAGAAAAAAACCCCGATACGAGTAATCAACTAACTTAAAAGTGCTCAATACAAAAGTAGAGCCGACATATATATCTATCAAATATCATGCAAAAACTGTGACCTAAAATATGTGAGTGAAACATGTAGGTCCGTAAAATCTCGTGTTTTCGAACATAAACGAGATATTCGCCTCGGAAATTTTAACAATGCTTTAGTTGTACACAACTAAAGCAGATCATTATTTCGATTTCGATTCCGTGAAGGTATTAAAATATTTTCATAATAAAAATCTCAGGAGGATTTATGAAGCAGGTATAATATCCATCTCACGCACGGTGAATACTAGACCTGGTTTCTTTAATATTTCCCCTTTTTTAGCGAGATTAATGCTCGACAAGCATACACATAAAAATTTTAGATCCTAATAGAATTCTTTTCATTTTTTTTTCATTCAAAATAATCAAAATTTTTTAGGAATACGTTTTGAAAGCGTCGCCCATGTGACGACAACGTGACCATGCTAAACGGAAAGCTGATCATTTTAAAATTTTCAGTTATCTGTTTTGGATAAGACTTGTTGTTTATGTCCATCGTCTTTGTCAAATTGAACTGAATTGTATTTTAATGAATATTGTCCTGAAGAAGGTTTATTAAACCGAAATGTCAGACGTCGACATTTCATTTATTTTAAACAACATAATTTCATTTAAGGATTTTTGGTTTGTTTTTTCCAAATTTTTCTTCATATATATATATATATATATATATAAACTTTATTTCAATCCATCGTGAGCTTCCAATCGTTAGCTTTCATTAGTTAATAATGAACATGTCATTTCCGTTTATGATCAATTTCATCACGATTCTTCTGTTAAACTTGGAGAGTAATTATACATTATTATTGCTCAAAGTAGATCCCATTTGTATTATAAAAAGTCTCGGAGAATTCCTGTAAGATATATTTAATCATTTCTGAGATACGTTTCAGAGCTTAATCTAAAAATTTGTTTCATTTAAGATGACTGACAAGGTCCTGCGACTAATTAATTTCCCTTAATTTTTCTTCTTTGGATATGAAGTGTTTAAAATCTGTCCAATTATTCTATATATCCGAGTGATTTCGGCACGGTAGGGTAATGGATAACGGCTTTTCATTTTATTAGAATCGACAAGCGAAGTTCCTTACATTCACTTACGTTCTAGTAACCTTGGGAAAAGTATGAATAATCCTTTTCCACCTTTAGTAGGACAAATTAAGCCCTAAAGCCTTTGGTGGCAAATGAGACTAAAAAGAAAAGTCTGAATTTAAACAAGCCTGGAGAGGGTTGTGATCCGTCAGGCAGTATTGTCTAAGACAACTGCTGCTCAGGCTGTGGTAGATGTGGTGGCTGTTGGAAGGTTACGAGATTCGTGTTACTTTGATACAAGCAATATTCCACGACATTTTCACAACTTCGATTTCTAACTCACAAATTAGAGACCAAAAGAACCAAAAGCCGACTAGATCAACATGCACCACCGGAAGGTCTTCATCATGGCGTCGTCCGCACAATTCCCAAATGTGCACTGTCGAAATTTCATTACAAATCCTTCAATTCGCAATAGTGCTTGAGGGCTCACGCTAAAGGCAATGCAGAAAGACTCATGAAAAAAAAAAAACAAACTTAACCCCCCCCAAAAAAAAAAACGCAGTCGACCACGTATCAAGAATGAAAGGCTATTGATTTCAAAAGAAGTTACTACTGGGTGAAAAGGCCTCCGGCCTATTGACGCACTACAGATAGAGGTGTTCAAAAAATTTCTTGCGGAGTCAACACACATAGGAAGCGGAGGTTGATGAGAGGCTGACATGGCATCACAAGATATTCTCCCAATCCAATGGAAATTTAGGACCGAAAGTCGATAGTGTTTCTTCCAACTATCAGTGTTTTTTCATTCGCTATTGAAAAAAACTACTTGTTTATAAAGGCCTCGTTCACACAGGCGAAACTCATTCAGTCATAGAATATATATATATATATATATATATATATATATATATATATATATATATATATATAGGTAACTGTACTCGTTTAAAAACCTTCGAATTTTTTATTTGCCAGTAATCAAATCAATCTCGAAGGAAAAAAAGGTTTTAAAAAAGAAAGAGCTAGAAACATGAAAGTCTGTCGAAAATAAATCGCACAGATACAGGTTTGAAGTTACAAAGAAAAAAAACCGACACGAGTAAACAACTAACAAAAAAGAGCTCAATACAACCGTAGAGCAGACCTAGATACACCTAGTGAGTTCAGACAAACCTACCTTGGTTTCACCTAAGCAGGTCGTCAAGGAAAGCTTTCCCCGACGATCCGCTTAGGTGAAACCTGGGTAGGTTTGTCTGGCTCACTAGGTTTATCTATCTCTCTCTCTCTCTCTATATATATATATATATATATGTGTGTGTGTGTGTGTGTGTATGTGTATGCGTGTGTGTGTGTGTGCGTATGTTAAGAGAGGTCTCGTTAAATAATTTAGGTATGTTCTGTCTACTTATTCTCGATAGGATCATTTCCTATTCGCGGATAAGCTTTTTTGTGTGGTTATTAAAAAACGACAGAAAAACACCGTATTAGCTCATATTGTATTTATTTTCGAGTACTTTCGACATGGCATAATGTCATCATCAGGTTATTGTTAATTATAGAGTAAGTATTAAGTATTCATGGTTTTGAAGGACAAAAGTTGTTGTGGTCATCCGAAAATTACCATTTTATATGTGGAGTCAGAGACGCTGTGTGATAGCTTAGATGACGGACACCGTTTAAGGGGAAGTAACTAGTTATGCTGTGGAAAAATTCCGGACTTGAGTAGTTGCTAAATAAAGGAAAAACTATTAATGACAAGCGCTAAAATATAAAGACTATCTATTGTACACATTTTAAAATGTTTGTGGAGTATTCGTAATTAATTATATTGAGGTTTGGTTAAAAAATTTTATATAAATAGTTTCACGAATTTTTAGTTTGTGTTTATTCTTTTCGTGGAAAAGTACGGTGGTATTTTCGACGAGGATTTTTTTTTTTTTTTTGCATTGCTAGTGTGGACAGGTATATTGTAAATGTTTAGAAATATTGAACGTGTTATTCAGGTGAAGACTTAGCCTACGTGAAAGCGTTGTTGTCGTGTGTCCAACATAGATATTATTTTTGTGATTAAAAATGCATTCTCCCAGAGGACATTTAAATTTATAAACGATGTTGGTTTTCTCCAACACGCAAGTGAACGTGGAAGAGTCATTACGACAAATTTGATTAGATATAGTGGATTTAGTGTAGTATATAATAAATATTATATTATAATAAATATTATTTTCTACTTGTGGTTAGTTACAGGGGTATTATGTTCTATATGTTTTGTATAGAGGTTTCTGATGGACGATCTTTTTTGCTCGTCAACGATGTATTTGGGGAAGTTATTATTGTTTTATATATTTTCTCGAGAAGATCTGTTTTGTGGATGAATTAGTTCTTGCACAGTTTGTTAGTTTTATTTTATGATAGTTAATTTATAGTAATATGTACATTCACTTTTATAGTTAAGAGTACAGGAATTTATGCTGGTAGGTGTTTTAGAAGGGGGGTAGCGAACTTAGTATTTTGGTGTTAATCATTATATCGAGAAAGGGAATTTTGTTACTAGTAATTCCAAATATATCAATCTTTTATATCGCAACCAGATGCTTGCTAATTATAAACAGGACGCAAATATCCCCCAAAATTAATAAAAACTAATACATCCACCAAAGACGCTAGTAAAAAATAATATTTATTACATACTAAATCCAATATATCTGATAATATCAAGTCATTCGATTCATTCGATTATCATCTATCTATCTATCTATCTATCTATCTATCTTCAGTTTGTTCATATCTATCTCTCTTTTCATTCTATCTATCTATCTATCTATCTATCTATCTTCAGTTTCTTCATATCTATCTATCTATCTCAGTTGGCTGATATATATATATATATATATATATATATATATATATATATATATACACAAACACATATATATATATGTAATTATTTATTCGAAAAAAATGACATAAATATGTTATAAAATCACTGGCCGTTTTGTTTAAACAAGACACCAAAAGTGTTGAAACAAAATGGCTATTTTTAAGAGTGATTTTATAACATATTTATGTTATAATTTTTTGAATAAATAATTATATTTGCTCTACTCTGTATTGAGCACTCTTTTAAGAATAGTATTTGTTGGTTATTGAGTTTATTCCGTATACACCAATCCTATACTTGGATATATATATATATATATATATATATATATATATATATATATGTGTGTGTGTGTGTGTGTGTGTGTGTGTGTGTGTCTTATAATGTTTCATAAGGTCTTCAGGGTGCGCATAAATAAGCAATATAAAAGCATAAAATTTTCCCATCACCCTGCACGTGTGAACGTAGAAAACAGAACTACATACACACGCTGATGTATGTGTATATATTTCTAGCGAGAGAAAATGTCAAATATGCACTTCCATTCATAATTCCGTAGGCTAATGATGAATGACGCATTATAGTTCTAGAAAAAAAAAGTTCTTTCCAATCCATTTCCTTTATTAAGGGACTAAATCCAGTGTTTTTGTTTTTCGCTCATCGCATTTAATCTTACACCTTGAGAATTATCTATCTATGTTAGTTATTTTTGCATGTGTACGTATAATATAAAGTATCAATTTTTCAAGTGTAATTAATTCTGAGAAAGCCATATAAGGTGCAAATAACACAGTAAAACTTTATTAGTTAATAAATTTATAATTGTTATAAAACGTTAACCTAATTGTATGCCTCGTACGATTTTAATAAAATGTCCAAATTTGATCTATCTATCTATCTATCTATCTATATATATATATATATATATATATATATATATATATATATCCTGGGTATGACGATAAACTACATCCGCGTCCTGAGTATGACGGTAAACTACATCCGCGTCCTGGGTAAGACGGTAAACTACATCCGCGTCCTGGGTATGACGATAAACTACATCCGCGTCCTGGGTATGACAGTAAACTACATCTGCGTCTTGGGTATGGCGATAAACTACATCCGCGTCTTGGGTATGGCGATAAACTACATCCAACAGCAAGGGCTCAGATAATGTTTTCGGAAAAATAATGTTGCCAGCTATAGGTTTTTGAAGCAATAATGTTGCCAGCTATGCGTTTTTGAAACAATAATGTTGCCAGCTGTACGTTTTTGAAACAATAATGTTGCCAGCTATACTTTTTTGAAACAATAATGTTGCCAGTTATGTGTTTTTGAAACCATAATGTTGCCAGCTATACGTTTTTGAACGACCTGGGTATGGCGATAAACTACATCCGCGTCCTGGGTATGGCGATAAACTACATCCGCGTCCTGGGTACGGCAATAAACTACATCCAACCGCACTGCCTCAGATAATGTTTTCGGAAAAATAATGTTGCCATCTATACGTTTTTGAAACAATAATGTTGCCAGCTATCCGTTTTTGGAACCATAATGTTGCCAGCAATACGTTTTTTGTAAAAAGATAATGTTGCCAGCTGTACGTTTTTGTAACCATAATGTTGCCAGCTATGTGTTTTTGAAACAATAATGTTGCCAGCTGTACGTTTTTTAAACAATAATGTTGTCAGTTATCCGTGTATGAAACAATAATGATGCCAGCTATCCGTTTTTGAAACAATAATGTTGCCAGCTATAAGTTTTTTGTAAAAAATAATGTTGCCAGCTATACGTTTTTGTAACCATAATGTTGCCAGCTATACGTTTTTGTAACCATAATGTTGCCAACTATAAGTTTTTGAAACAATAATGTTGCCAGCTAAACGTTTTTATTCCATACAAAATCGGCATTTAAAATTCATATAAACTGGATTTGGCATTAAATAACCCACAGTGGTTGATATACCATGAAACCCAAACAAACAAACTTCATTTACAAGCCAAAACACCTAAGGTTTTTCCAGACGAGTATAATTACTTATATATATATATATATATATATATATATATATATATATATATATATATATACACACATACAAGAGAACACATTCAGAATTTATATATATATATATATATATATATTATATATATATATATATATATAACTGGCAACTCTTATTCGAGAATACCCATATATATATATATATATATATATATATATATATATATATATATATGTGTGTGTGTGTGTGTGTGTGTGTGTGTGTGTGTGTGTGTGTCTGTGGGTGGGTGTGTGTATTTATATATATATATATATATATATACGTGTGTTCTCCCCTATACATACATATATATATATATATATATATATATATATATATATATATATATATATATATATATATATATATATATATATATATATATATATATATATATATATATATATGTGTCTGCCTGTATACATATATATATATATATATATATATATATATATATATGTGTGTGTGTGTGTGTGCTTTTGTGTTTGTAAGTGTATAAATTTTTCTCCGTAAATAAATCGACTGCTCCAATATCATAACAGTATGTGTGTGTGTGTGTGTGTGTGTGTGTGTGCGTCCCTGTGTGGGTGTGTGGGTATATATATATATATATATATATATATATATATATATATATATAGGTGTGTGTGATTGTGTGTGTGTGTATATCTATCTATCTATCTATCTATCTATCTATCTATATATATATATATATATATATATATATATATATATATATATAGGTGTGTGTGTGTGATTGTGTGTGCTCGTATATCTATCTATCTATCTATCTATCTATATATATATATATATATATATATATAGAGATATATGTGTGTATGTGCCTGTCCCTGTGTGGTGGGTGTATATATATATATATATATATATATATATATATATATATATATATATATATATATATATATATATATGTGTGTGAGAGATCTATTCATCTATCTATCTATCTATAGAGATAGATATATATATATATATATATATATGTATATATATATATATATATCCGTAAATAAGATGTTTGTATATATGACTGTCTTAAATAAATCGACTATCATAACAATACGTGTATGTGTGTGCGTGTGTTGCGTGTGTAAGCATGTATTTATTTTTGCACCAGTGCATTTCGTAACAAGCGACGAATATTGCGAGGTGATGGGACAAACAAACACACGCATCGTGTTGGATGGGAAGAAAGTTCGAAAGAGAAGCGCCAACCTAATCGTACACACATCCACTTACCGTAAATAGTCCGTCAGTAAGCCACGTTCCACACCGAAGGTAACAGATGACTCATCACGTCTTTTACAGACGGCAACAGGTTCGAGCGCTAATCGACAATGATCGATATTCCTGTATTAACATCAGTATCTATTGCCTGTCCTGGGGAGGGGTGCAATCGCAGTCCCTTTACCGACCCGAGGCTCCCTTTTACATCTCATTTTCGATTATGGGACCCCACTTCTTTCTTTTTAGCTATTTTCCGTTGTCTTTATTCACGAAATAGGGATCAAGCCCCGAGGCTGGACCCGGATATGTGAAACTGTGTCTCTCAAATAAAACGAATTTGTCTTCGTGTATCGCTATCCATCTTTCTCTACTTCCGTCTTTATATATATATATGTGAATATGCACACATACACACAAACACGCGCGCGCACAGACATATATATATATGTGTGCGTGTGTGTATAAAAGAGAGAGGAGATAGAGGAGGAGTGAGAGGAGATACAGAAGGTGTAAGAGAGAGAGAGAGAGTAAAGCAAACTGACAATGTGAAAGAATGAGTGAGTGAGTGAGAAAGAGGAGGTTGTGAAGGAGAGAGGGAAAGAGAAAGAGCGAGTTTAATCAAGTTTTTGGCCACAACGACGACGGACACGGCACGATCGAATGCTCTAGCTAGACTAATGTGCTTACAGTCTGAGTCAGGCATTTAATATATATATATATATATATATATATATATATATATATATATATATATATATATATATATATATATATATTACAAAACAAAAGTTCCCAAGTAAATGTTTGTGGGAGAACAAGGTAATGAATATAATGTTGAAAATAATATATATATATATGTGTGTGTGTGTGTGTGTGTGTGTGTGTGTGTGTGTGTGTGTGTAGGGTGACATACGGGTGAGTAGAAAGAAGAAAGGAAGAAAGAAAGAACAATGGGGACATGATAAGGGACATAGCGAACTCAAATGACAGCTTATTTTTCCATTAACAATTTTCAAACGGATTATAATCACTTGCCTTGGATAATCGACTTGTTTGATCTGCTTTAGTATCTATCTATCTATCTATCTATCTATCTATCTATCTATCTCCGACTGTTCATATCTATCTATCTCTATCTATCTATCTATCTATCTATCTATCATATCTATCTATCTATCTATCTATCTATCTATCTATCTATCTATCCATCTGTTCATATCTATCTATCTATCTATCTATCTATCTATCTATCTATCATCTATCTATCGCCGTCTGTTCATATCTATCTATCTATCTATCTATCTATCTATCTATCTATCTATCATATCTATCGCCGTCTGTTCATCTATCTATCTATCTCCGACTATCATATCTATCTATCTATCTATCTATCTATATCTATCTATCTCCGACTGTTCATATCTATCTATCTATCTATCTATCTATCTATCTATCTCCGTCTGTTCCATATCTATCTATCTATCTATCTATCTATCTATCTATCTCTGTTCATATCTATCTATCTATCTATCTATCTATCCTACTGTCTCCGACTATTCATATCTATCTATCTATCTATCTATCTATCTATCATATCTATCTATCTATCTATCTGTCTGTTCATCTATCTATCATATCTATCTATCTATCTATCTATCTATCTATCTATGTCTGTTCATATCTATCTATCGATCGATCTTTCTATCTATATCATTCTATTTATATCTATCTCCATCTGTTCATATCTATCTATCTATCTATCTCCGTTTGTTCATATCTATCTATCTATCTATCTATCTATCTATCTATCTATCTATCTATCTATCTCCGTCTGTTCATATCTATCTAAAAGGTTCAGAAAGAGGGCAATAAATCTATCTATCTATCTATCTATCTATCTATCTATCTATCTATCTATCTATCTATCTCAGTCTGTTCATAGCTACCTAAATCTCATGTCTTCGTATTCGTCTCTTTCGTTCTCATTCTTTTACTTATTGTCAGGTTTATTGCCCTCTTTCTGAACCTTTTTCTCATTTGTCATTGAATCCCTTACGATGATTGCAAACCCGTAATCCACTTGTTGAGGAGAACCCTTCCTACGAAACACAACCTAAATTATCCCAACTAATATTACAGTCACGTTCTACATTTTTCGCTCCTTCTTTTTTTATTTCCAATTTCTCCTTCTTTCTCTCATTTTTCCTTCGATTCTAATTAGCTTTTCATTTCTTTTTCTCTTTTTCAATTTCTTGTTCTTTTTCTTCTTTCTTTTCATCACTTACGTATTTGTCTTTTTAACTTTGTCTTTTTTTTTTCTGATTTCTTGGCCCTTTTCTTTTGTTTGTTTGTTTCTATCACGAAATCAAATCCGAAAACCCGACTGAGGTGTAAGTTGCAATAAAAGATCCTAATATTTGTCTCTGAATTCGTAACGTGAAGGCTCTCCTCCTCCTTTGACGTGTCCAGTTTGTAAACAACGATTTCATTCTTCCATAGCGAAGCAACTGTTTTGACCCGAAAGAAATAAGGGAGACACTTTTGTGATTTCGTTTCAAACATGAAGATACAAAACAAATGAATGATAATTTATTTAGAACAAAACACTGAATAACTGAACCGAATAAATAGTTTAATATATATATATATATATATATATATATATATATATATATATTATATATATTTAGGTAAATCCTTCGTTTATGCATGTTTCATTAAAAACGACAGACAAGGTGCTACGGTTAAGCTTTTTATTTAATTTTTCTTGTGTTCTAACAAGAGCTTTCTTTTTTAGACAAAGAGTGTGTAATTCTGTCCAAATGTTTTATATTTCAGAGCGCTTTCGGCTATACCTTTAGCCATTATCAAGAATGATTCGATTTTTCAGCTTAATTGAGTGTGTGCGTTATATTTATGTCTTAGTGTGTGTTAGAGATGTTTTTAATTTCCGAATACGGTTAGCACATTGTGGCCTTGTTCGTAGTTAATAGCTCCATTAGAACCCATTTAAACACACACACACACACACATTTACCAGACTCCCTTAGAAACATACTAGTAGAAAACACAAATATATTAACTGCATCCACCTGCAAAAAAAGATTAAAAATAATGGAAGCTTTAATAATAAAAAAGAAAAATCCAACTCTTAACAATATTAACTATTTGATGTGTTTAGTATTTAATCATTTCACAGGTATATATTAGAAACAAGCAGACATCGCCCGCTTGCTATCGCTTAGCAAAGCAAGATATATTCACTACTTGAAATCTTTGAAACAAAAATTTTAAATGAACATTTCATTCATAAATTGACTTGTTATAGTTAAGGAATGTTTTACAAATAGATGCCGACTTGTTGAAGGCCAATTAAAATGAAAATTTTAAACACTTTTCTGCACCATATAAAACGATAATCCTAAGCAGAACTATTTTTGATATGAAAATCAAAACAATCCTAGAATAAAAGAACAGTAAGGAAGGACAGTTAATTAATGAAATAAACTTATTTTGAAATCAATATGCAAATTAGTTAAACCTGAAGAATGATAGTGATTTTCCAAGCGTAGCTTGGATGTGACACAAGGACGAAAGTAAGGGATACCCAGTGAGGATTGAACTCACCACTTGGCCGTAATTGTTCTAGCGAGACAAGCTTGCTAACCATTACACCACCTCGAGGTGCCCAACCTGAAGAATGATTGTACCTAGAAGTAGATAGTATATAATACAGCTATTGAGTACTTTGTTCATAAATTACTCTTTCAAGTACTTTCTATCACATCTGTTTATCATCTCTACGGTCGCGGGGGCTGTGTTCGCTCTCGAGTCCTCCACCTTAAAAAAAAAGACCTTGTGTCACATCTCGTCTAAATAAATGCCGTGTGTTAATTACTCTCTCGAGTGGTATACACATTCCGATCTTTACCGCTCACATGGATTCGTCCCTGGGCAGGTAGTATCACAGCTATGACTAGCTTAGACCAGCTCTGATCATCTTGGACAAGCTATGATCAGCAAACACCATCGGCCCGATTGAAATCACTCGGGTCCCCACGTTAAAAGCTGGCCTTGTGTCACAACCTGACTCGGTGGGGGGTGTCAAGTAAATACATACATATTCTGATACTGTGTTGGTAGTATCACAGCTATGACCAGCTAAGACCAACTATGACTAGCTTAGACAAGCCCTGACCAGCTTGGACAAACTAAGACCCCTTTAAAGATTATTTAGTGGATACCCCACTTGGGGGTCAAGTAAATACAAATTACTGTCTTGAGTTGTTTGTAACACATTACTTACCATCTCACAGTTGCGTCTTCGGGCAGAGAGCGCTCAGGCAGGGGCGACTTCGTCATAGTCACAACTGAGGAAAATTACACTGAGACGTGCCCAGCCTTGGAGAACAGCTGCCCGAGGCCGCGCCCTCTCATTGCACCAGAAAGAGGGATCGGTGCTCGCACCGAGGCCAGCGCAAACTACGGTTGCGGAGGTTCGGGCAATTTTTGTTCCTAGTCCGGGTGTACGTGCTCGGTCTCCTCACATTAAACCGAGCTTGTGTCTTAACCTGACCTCGTGGGGTGGGGTTGGGGGTGGGTGGTGAGTTAATATAAATTACTATAGAGTTCGGCTTTTTTAAACCCAGAATTCGTGCGAAAATTGTTCTCCAATTTCGCATTTATTCATATAGATAACCAAAAAATCATTCGTTGTACGCGCAAACATAAGAATACACAAATAATGAAAAGATGAAATGAAAAGTAAAAACAGTGAAAAATGTGACAAAGAAAAAGGCGGGAAAAATTAAAAGTTTTAAAGAGGGTGAACGTACTGATAGAAAATTGTAAAAAGAAGGAAGCGTACGAAAATTTTAATGCTGCACAAACACATTGTCAAGCCTGACCAGTGAGCAAATCAAAGTACTATAGACTGACCCGGAAACTCTTCTGATTTAAATCCAATAGAGAATCTGCGGTCAATCTGCGAGGAAAGACTTCGTGGAATAGACACACAAAGTACTAACATGTCACTGGGTCATGCTGAGAATAATACAAAAAATTAAATAATAACGGAATTATTCGTTTCGTTTCAATTAATTTGCACAACTGTGTATGTGTTTGTCAGTGCCTGTGAGTGTCTGTGTGTACACTGCTGGCCACTGAAAATACAGAAAAATATCCCTTTTGCGTTTACTAGACTCAACAACTCAATTGAGTAGAGCTTCGATAATAAGAAAATGAAAAATTAAAATTACAAACTTTTTTAGTATTTAATAGAGAAAATTTTAATACTTGGAAATTAGTTTAAATACTAGCAAATCAAAAGTTTCTGACTAAACCTGAAACAAATTCTAAACAGAGTTGAAAATATCCAAGTTTCAGATTTATATTTTGGTAAGATTCCATAGCGGAACTCTGAAGAATTTGCCGCATATCTAAGAATGGTAACGTGCGGATAGTTTTAGATTAGTGTTTAGTATTTACTAAATTCACACATGATATATTAAAAATAACACAAAAAAAATGGTTCATTGTGAGCGCAAAAAATGAGAAAAGACGAGTAAAAAAAGGAAGAAATGAAAAGTAAAAACAGGTGAGAATTGTCACAAAGAAAAAGGCGGGAGAAATTAAAAGTTTTAAAGAAGGTGAAGGTGCTGATAGAAAATTGTAAAGAGAAGGCAAAATGTCGTAAAAGAGACAGCGGTAGAAACCGACAGAAAAAGAAAAAAAAAATTGCCTGTTAACGGAAATAAGATAAAAACGTTTTGAGGCGCGGGGTGGCCGGGGGGGGGGATTGTCGTTCGAGATTTTTTTTTTTTTTTTTTTTTTTGAAATAAACTAGAAGCTCAGTTATTACCTATGCCTGTAGCAATGTGATACGTGATTAAATGGCAAGTGGGCGAGGACGGCTGGGTTGAAGGAAGAGATGGGTCGGAAGAAGAAGTGGGTTCCCAAACAACCCAGCAACACCCAGCCGTCCCAGAACCTTGAGCAATCCAAACAAACCCGATACAGGAACACCCCTTTCACACTTTTCTTGATTGTTTCCTTCTTCCAACCCATATCTTCTCCTCACTCTCACTCTCACTCTCACTCTCTATCTATCCATATCTATATCTATATCTATATCTATATATATATCTATCTATCTATCTATATATATATATATATATATATATATATATATATATATATATATAATATTCTAAATAATAATTGGCATGCTAGTGTCGTAGACCATTACTCCCCTATCACTTCGTCATGCGAAGCTGAGTATCTATCTATCCATCTATCTATCTATCTATCTATCTATCTATCTATCTATCTCAGCTCTTTATCTATCTATCTCACTGTTCATATATATATATGTCTCTGTTCATATCTATCTATCTATCTATCTATCTATCTATCTATCTATCTATCTATCTATCTCAGCTCTTTATCGATTTATCTCGTCATGCGAAGCTGAGTATCTATCTATCTATCTATCTATCTATCCCAGCTCTTTATCTATCTATCTCACTGTTCATATATATATATGTCTCTGTTCATATCTATCTATCTATCTATCTATCTATCTATCTATCTATCTCAGCCAGCTCTTACCTATCTACCTATGTCACTATTCATATCTTTCTCGCTGTTCATCTCTCTCTCTCTCCCTCTCTCTCTCTCTCTATCTATCTATCTATCTAGCTAGCCAAGTCTATTCGTATCTATGGTGAAAATGATAACGAAAGGGGAACAGAGTGGAGGAGAAGATTTACATCGGGGCAACGATGAACAACATCCAAAGCGTCTGATATCATTCAGATATGAAATATATGTTTTCAAAATACATCTTCGAACTAAAAATGCAAGGGAAAACACCATTAGCAGAATTGGATATAATGAAAAAAAGGCGAAGAAAAGCAGTCGAAGAAAATGCAATCGACGTATGGAGGTAAAAATGAAAATCGTTAAACTTAAAAATGAAAATGATTCCGCATTTTGAAAAAAAGAAGTGTAGAGCCCTGAAGAATACGCGGATGACTTCCACAGCTATTTTTGAAAAGGCACATTGGCACGCACGAATATCTGCTAATGTGTAAATAATCTTGAAATAATCACTTTTAAAAAGTATTTTCAACAACTAAATGTTTAGATAGATTTAAATCTTCGTAATGGTTGAGTCATTAGAAAGCACTTGTAAGAAAATCAAACCTTTCGACCATCTATTCACAAATTTGATCCAAATGTACAATGCGGAATTTGTGTGTACATGTGAGTGTCTTTACAGAAGATGCATAAAACAACGTGGAAAACAAACATACATTAACAGATTTAATATTAAACAGCTCCCCAACACACAAATGCTCAGGGATTTCTTTCATTCAGACTCGAGGAGGACTATCTAACGAAGACGAAATGACTGTTCAATAAAATAGATTACCAATTTGTGTAATTGATTAAACTTTTGTTCGAATTCTATATCCTACTAACAAACACACACACACACACATATATATATATATATTCGACTCTCCCATCGAATTCGACGTATTACGATCAAGTAGATCAGTTTCTAGAACCGACAGCTCGACATCAGCACATATGATTTGATTTTCGTGATGAAGAATTTGTGCAAAACCAACCACACTTTTCGAAAGGGCCGAATACAGAGACCTGGTGCACTACGTGCCACAAGTACCCCAAACGACCCTCCGCAGGTTTTGAATTCAGAGTTGTCCTTCTCTTTGACCAGTTGCCAGACAGGGCTATAAAACCCAGTCTGTCCTGCTATTTACCCATAGCTGGAGGGAGAAGAAGAGGGATTAACACCTTTCTCAACTGTATTAGCACGTAAGAGAATGTAATGGATTCGACAGAAATTCGAATATATATATATATATATATATATATATATATAAAAGGCTTAAAAACACTAATATTCCATGGTTATAATTTATTACATTGAAATCGTAATTACGATCCAATTCATCAGACCTACAAATTCAAAAAAAAAAATCAGAAAAATAACTCCGGGAATAAAATATAAAATTAGTGAGAGTATGTATGAGAGTGGGGACGAATGTTAGAGGTAAATATATATATATATATATATATATATATATATATATATATATATATATTATATACTAATATTATCGACATATATATATATATATATATATATATATATATATATATATATATTGTGTGTATTTAGACATTTAGGTATTTTTTTTTCATTCATACATGTTTCATTAAATAATATAGACACACCATAAACTCGCTTTTCCCGATCCTTGACACTACATTTGAATGAAAACTCTAACATTTTTAGGCTTTTAAAACAACAGGACTGGCCGCACACACAATTCCGTAAAATCCTTGTCGAAAACACAATTATCTTTAAACATGAAAACAATAAACAAAAACTAAAAACAAAAGTAAGCTATGAAATCTCCAGAAATATTCTTAAATGTCTATAATTGGTAACAGCTTCCCATACTTAATACTTCTCGAATTCACTCTCGCGTGGTCATGTGTGACGTCATGAGCGGCGGTGTGATTTTCGCTTCCAGCGTCTTATATGCACGTGTTTATCGTTGCTTGGAAATCATCCATGTAAACAGAAATAGACTATCATCACTTTCTTGTCTGTGTATTGCATAATATAATGTAATGTAATTGTCATCTTGGATAATGGCTTATCTAAGCCGAAAGCTTAGCTTGGATTAAAAAATATATATCAATATTGTGATTTTCTTTCTTCGTTAATGATAATGTTATTAAGCTTATCAGATGATATGAAAACAATTTGCATAAAATAAATAGACAACACTAGTCTATATTATTTAATGGAACATGTATGAATATATATATATATATATATATATATATATATATATATATATATATATGAATAGTTATTTCAAGCTTTTGTCATGGCAGTGTCAATGGCATCGGCGAAGAATATGCTCTCAGAGTTTTGTCTAGTTTATAAAGAAATCATTAAAACGAAAAAAGAATTTAAACAAAATAGATCAAATGAAAAACAGAAATGATAAAAAACACAAAGAAATAACTTAATAATGAAAATGTCGAAAGAAAAGAAAATACTTTTAAAGAACAAGAATACATTTTTTTGATGAAAGCAAAAGAATAAAAATGAACTATTTTCTTTTTTATTTTAACTGAAAACAAAAATAATGGCGGATAAAGAAAGAAAAAACAAAAAACATTGAACTAAAATTGGACCGAAGCAAAGAATACGACGTGATTTTTTTCCTATAGAAAGCAAATGTAGGATTTACATTTGACATGGCAATGATGCTCATTTTAATTCGGGCAACGGTAGTTGGTTATCACTAAGTCCCTGATTAACCCAGTTGAACAGGGAGATTGAAAGGATTTGCAACAGGAAATGAAAACGTACATGCTTTCACGCAGAATCGTTTCTGCGCATGTCTAAAGGAAATTGAGATTTCTGTAACAGAGTGAACACAGACTTCAGTAGTACAATACTAAAAAGCAATTGCAAGTGTTCACAAAAGGATCTACCCAAAAGAAATTTAGGAATATTTGAAATAAATACGAAATAAATGTGACGTCGTCCCCCGGTCGCAGCGCCGACTGTGACGTTCTATCCTGATCTACCACGGCACCAGTTGTGACGTCCCCAAACAGCACCACCAGACGTCCTCGCCGCGGCGCCAGCTGTTCGCTCCTCGCGCTGCTCCGTTCGGGTGTCGCTGCTCCAAACGTGACGTCCGCCTGTCGCGTCAGTCGTGTTGTCTCGTCCTGTGGTTTGGTATCGGTCGCGGCACCCAAATGTGACGTTCTAACCTTTTGGTGATTCGGGTGGGAATCTGGTTAGATTTGATATCAGCCTCGTCGTTCCCAACTCGCTTCCAACGCCTGGTTACCAAGGTAACTGCATTGATCTCCAGTCTGCCTACCCACGTTGTGAATTGATCTTAGCCAGACGAGATCAAACAGTGGTTGGGGCCGTAATGCAAACTGAGTACAACGGGGGTGATACTACACAAATATGCATAAAATAAAATAAAATGAAAACTCAAAAAGTTCAAAGTATCAAAGAAAAAGGTAACAAACTTTATGTCTAGTTGTTCGATACATAGGACTGCATCTATCTCCCGACCCGTTCTGTGGATTGTGACACGTCGTTTCCGCTAGGCAAGTTTTAACGCTTCAAGTTGTTTGCTCTCTAAGAAATTGGTTGTTTCGGTGTGTCTTTGGACGAAAGTCGAAAAACTTATTTTGGTGGTCTGGTTCTAAGTCGCTCTTCAAAATAATTGTTCTTGGGTTGAAGAGGAGTCCGGAATTTTTTGTGTGAATCTTGGTTAGCTATCTGCGAGGCGGTTTCAACTGGAGACTGACTCTGGGAACTCAACTCTGGAAACTCGAGCCCGAACTCTGATTTCTGCCTGTTGGGGCCTCGCTTTTATTGACGCCGACAAAAACCGGGTTGGATCTGTTGGCGTCGGGAAGTTCTTCGATAATTCTAGATACATATCCACCTCTTTTGTTTCTGGTTAGGGATTTTCCACTCTTTTCCATTTTTGGGAACCCCTCCTCACTCCCACTTTCTCACCATACCTCTGAGGGGCGTGAACTGCCTTCCCCACTTCTTCGTAGCAGCTTCTCATACTTATACTCTGGATGGGGCGTCGACAGCCTTCTTCGTGCGTCACGTGATCACCACTTGACCAATGATGTCTTAGTCGGGCGTGAACAATCCGTGGCTTTGTTTCGGGAAAAAAAATATCTTGCTTAACTAAAAAAAAAAATTATCTCTTCTCTTTCGCTTAAATCGCCGTTATCATTTCTCTAGCTACGGACAATATGACAACTCTTGTTTTACACGTGGTGTTTGTCAGGTATCTTATCGCTAATTCATCAAGATGGGTGGTATTCTTAACATGGCTTCAAAAAAGAAATATCACCAAAGTTTTCAGTCAGTCTGTCGCCTCCAAGGAAGAAAGAACACTTCTGGTTCCCCATAATTTTATTATCGCCGGCCAAAGTTGTTTCGTCGAAAAGAATTCGGTCAGCGCACTGCTTGTGTGAGATTTAATTTTTCATATCTGTCCAAAGTCCTTTTTAGTGGCCTGTTTCTCGTCACTTATCAAAATAGCATTTTCACTTGAATTTTTCCCTGGCCAGTAGTCTAGATAACACAGCCGTTATCAAAACACATCTGGTTCCTTCCTTCTTTTCCCTTTCCTTTTTACTCAGAAATTCCCTTTCATTGTAATGACACCCTTTTTCATTTGTTACTCATCAATATTTTCATTGTCTCTTAGCCTTGTGTGCGTCTGCTTATCACCTATGAATCGTCTCGCATTTCTTTCTGCCTTCTTTTCTTTCTCTTCCTTTCTCTGCCTCGTAAATGGTGCCACATAAATATGACCTACTAATTATCTTCTAACATGTCCTCTGAAATACCCGACGTGCGTAAATTATAGAAAGCGTTCTCCCAAAGGGCACTGCTAAGAAAACAAACAATATCTGTAAATTCAGCTCATGCACGCAACTCAGATTCACTTAATTTATTACATAGTCCATACGCTGACAATAAACTCAATCCAAGAGCAAAGCCTCTAATCGGGAGATTGGAAGTTTTCAGGAGCGTGGAACGACCTCTTACCTAATGTTGTACCCAGGTACACTCTAAATCGTGGTGTTGGCACCTGTT